CCCCAGGCCTGGCCACCGCCAGACAGCCCCGTTCGCGTGGACACCATCCGAGTGGTAGAGGGACCTCGGGAGGTGGAGGTGGCCGCCAGCACGGCCGCTGGGGCCCCTGCACAGCGGGCCCAGAGCCTGGAGCCCTATGGGGCAGGGCTGCGGGCCCTGGTGGCATCCGGAGGAACCGAGAGCCACCCTGTCTTCCGAAGCCATGAAGTGGTGGAGGCAGTGTTCTCCTCGCCCGCTGCCTCCACTGGCAACGTCCACTTGGTGAAGAAGATCAGCATCACAGAGCAAAGCTGCAACGGGGCCGCAGGTGAGCCACGCTGGGCAGGGAGGGCAGTGGAGGGCCCCTCTTGCTTCATTTGAACAGTAGGGTCCAGCCCCACCCCAGCCTTCCACCATACAGGCCATCCCCATCTTGGAGCCTCTGTTTCCCTCTCTGCAAAAAGGGGACAAGATCATGCCACCGACTCAGTGTGTAGGGATCATGCTGAACAACTGCGTGTCTGTCAAGTATGTCCTCGTGTGTCGTACACTGGGCGTGTGCAGAAGACAGAACGTACTTGTCAGAGGGTCTCCCCAAGACTGTTGGTTTGCTCCCTGTTTATTCAGTCGGTAGCAGGAAGCAATCTCAGACCAGTTCAAGCCATGACAAGGGAATGTAACTTAGTGATAGCTTCAGGCATGGCTGGATCCTGGTGCTCTTGAATCTTTCTTTCTCTCCCTTCCTCTGTGCACCCTTGAGGCTTCTCTCTTAGGCCAGCAAAGGTGACCCCGCCGCTCTGCACCTCTGTGCTTGCCGCTCAGTGGAAAGGGAGCCCCTCGGTCCAAACGTTGCCAATAAAAACCCCAACGGTGGCACTCATTGCCGGCTCGGGTCACATGCCCAACACTGAGCTCATCGCTGACCCTCACTGCCTAGCCCTTTGGGGTAGAGGAGCCCCACCCAGGTCCTGCTGTGGCCAAGTCCTGAGGGGCGCTCCCTGAAGGAAGTGCTGAGTCTTCATGCCAAGAAAGGGGATGTGGGTTGTGCAGAATGGCAGCTGCCTACCACTGCTGCCCTGAGGCCCCCGGGAAGCTGCCAGGATGATTCATAATAATGACAGCAGCTGCTCTTTATCAGACCCCAGCCTGGAGCTGGGTGCTGTGCTCAGTGCTTCACCCATAGAGGGGCTGAAGGCAGGGCGGTGCAGCCAGGCAGCCTGGGCTGCAAGTCCACTTGCTGTGTCTCTGAGCGCGCAGCTTCTCTCTGGGCCTCGGCTTCCCTATCTGTGAAGCGGCATAATAACGGTCCCCCCTGTGGGATGCTTGTGAATTAGCGCGCACAGTAAGTACTCCATCAGTGCTTGTTTCTGTGTCTGCTGATGATTTTCAGGTCAGTCTATTTATAGTTGGGGAAACAGGGGCTTGGGGGTAAGCTGCACTTGCCCCGCGTCACACAGCCAGGAAGTGGCCCAACCAGGACCTAAACCGAAGTTAGCCTGAACCTGCAGCAGGGCTCAGAGGGGAGACCCAGGTTCTCATGCCAACCTCATATCTAAGGTGCCCAGAGCCTCATGGTGGGACCTGAGGCACAGCTGGAGGGTGGGGACGCAGCTGTGTTTTCTTGCTTTTCCATGTTGTTTCTGGCCAGTTCCAGGCACCACCCCTCTGTCCTGTATCTATTCCAAACACCCAGCCCTGCGACTCTGGCCTCTAGCCAGGGGCTCCGCCTGGCCCAACCTCAGGACCTCTGAGAGGCAACCTCCATTCCAGACATGCCTCCCAGGGCAGTCATGGGACCTCCTGCCGTCGGGACACACAGACAGTGATATCCTCCCCAGCAGTTCTTCCCTTTGTCTCACCTAACTCCCTCTTGCTGCAGCCAGCCCCAATGTGCTAATTCATTTCACTGCTCATTCAGCAAATATTTATGGAGTGCCTGTTATGTACCAAACTTCTAGGCCCTGGGGACACAGCGGTGCACAAGATAGACAAAAGCCCCTGCGATAAACCACAATAAATAAGTGAAGAATTGTTTCAGAGAATCCGTGTTTGAGGCAGATACGTGTTTGATGGGGTGGTGGCCCGGTCTTCCCTGCTCCCTAGCTCTGCGCCCTTGAGCAATTTATTTAACTTCTCTGTGTCTCATTTGCAAATTGGGGGTCTTGACAGCCCGATGTCACCAGATTAGTATGAGGCTTAAATGCATCAATTCATGTTACGTGTTCAGTGTGGCACCAGGCACATAACGGGTGCTCAAGGGTTAGGTGTTGACTCTGAACCAAGGTGTGAAAGGAAAGAAGCAGTCAGATGGCAAAGAGGTGGGAAGAAGAGTGTTCCGGGAGGGGGGCTCAGCAGGGGGAAAGGCCCTGAGGTGAGGAGGGGTATAGGTGCATCCAAGGTATTAGACAAACTAGAATAGGGTGAGGCTAGAGAAGCGGGGTACAGGATAGCCTGAGCATCAGGGGTAGGTCCTCCTGGGTTTGTAGACTGGGAAATAAAATGAGATATAATACTAGGAGGACTTGACAAGTATTTGGACTATGCATTCGCTTAGGTAGGTCAGCTAGATGCGTAGGTCAGGGAGGGCTCCCTGGAGGAAGAGGCAAGAAGGAGCCCAACCTCTCCACCCAGTAGAATTTGCTCACTGCAATTGAAGGGCAGTCTTCCCCTTGGGCTGGAAAAGCCTGGAGAACCCCAAAGTCCTGTCCCCCAATCTGGGAAAGGCACCACAGAGATCAGTGGAAGAGGGGGCAGCCAGACACATGCATATCTCGGGTCTCTCCAAGACTTTGAAATTTTCTCTGCTCTTGTTTGAGACATATTTCTATGAGAGTAATTCATATTCTTTGTGGGAGCTTTGGGAAGTACAGAAAAATCTAGAACACAAAATAAAACTCCCATAAACCTACCACTGCCCATACGCAGCTGCTGTCGACACTTCTGCTTCTTTCCTTCTGAATTTTTTAAATATATTTTTTTATTGATTTCAGAAAGGAAGAGAGAGAGAAACATCAATGATGAGAGAGAATCATTGATTGGCTGCCTCCTGCAAGCCCCACAGTGGGGACCAAACCAGGAACCTAGGCATGTGCCCTTGACCAGAATCAAACCTAGGACCCTTCAGTCCGCAGGTCAACGCTCTTCCCACTGAGCCAGACTGGCTAGGGCTCCTTCTGAATTTTTTAACACAGAAAATAATATATATTTTTCAAGTCTGGAACATGGAGCTTGGAATTTGTTGTTTCTCTTCATTTTACTTTTAAAAGCATTTAGGCAGCCCGTACTATAGACCAAGGCATTATTAGACTCCCTTTTCATATTTTAATTCATTCAAATCCCCAGCACCTATATAAGGTGGAGTGTTTCTAACCCCCATGTTATAGATGAGGAAACTGAGGCACAGGCAGGTTAGCGAATTTGCCCACAGTCCTTGAAGCCAGGATTTATAATCTCTCTGGTAGAACGATAAACCAGGGACATTTCTGATGTTATTAAGAACAATAAAATATATATTTTTTTTAAAAAAATAAAAAGAATTTGTGGGAGGTGCCTTTTTGGTTGTGAGCAGCCACATCATTTTTTACTCTCAAGGCTACCACGCCAACGTCCTTCCCAGGAGCCCTTCATATCCCCTGGTCTGTGTTTTCAGGGCAGGTTTCTAAAAGGGCATTTTGAGGATCTTGTTGTCTATTACCAAATTGCTTTACGCCCTCTTGGGCTCACTCCTTTCCAGCACTGGGTTGGTGAGTAATTTACATTTTTCACAATTTCTTTTGGACTTAAGGGGCCAAACCTGAGTTAATGAAATTTCTTCTGCCCATGGTAACCACACTGCTCTTTTACTTTACTCTTTTTTCACCTTCTTTTCCAGCCTCAATGATGAGAGTCAGTAAATATTTTCAGCTTTGTGGGCCATATGATCTCTGTTGCAATAACTCCATTCTACTCTTTTCTCCGCGCCCCCCCTCCCCCGCCCAGCTTTATTAAGGTATATTATATACAAAAAAAATGTATATATTGTATATATATTTTTAAATTCTCTACAATTTTGGACATTCTTTATTTTTATTGATTTGAGAGAGAGGGAGAACATTGATTTCTTGTTCCACTTATATATGCATTCATTGGTTGATTCTTATATGTGCCTTGACGGGGGACCGAACCTGCAATCTAGGCATATCGGAACGACACTAACCAACTGAACTGCCCAGCCAGGGCAAAAGTGTATATTTTTAAATTTTATTATTATTTCTTTTAATCCTCACCCAAGGAAGGGAGAGAGAGAAAAAAAAGAGAGAGAGAGAAGGGAGAGAACATTGATTAGTTGCCTTCCATATGTGCCCCACCCGGGGATCGAACCCACAACCCAGATATGTGCCCTGACTGGGAATTAAACCAGCAACCCCTCAGTGCACAGGATGAAGCTCAACCAACTGAGCCACTCAGCCTGGGCAAAAAATGTATATTTTTACTGTATACATGTTTATTAATTTGTTGCCTCAATTTTGCCTTTGTAGCATGAAAGCAGACGTAAACAATATAAGTATTAATAAGCGAGCATGGCTGTGTGCCAAGAAAACTTGTGTGCCGACACTGAAATGTCAGTTTCATATAATTTCCATGTGTCCCAAATGGAATCCTTCTTTTAATTGTTTTTCCAACCATTTAAAAATGTAAAAACTGCCCTCGAGCTAGAGTCAGCCAATCTCTGCCCTATGCCATTCACACACACCCTCCATCAATTCTCACCCCTCACCCCACTTAATATCATTCCTGGCAATCCACCTTCCAGAGTTATTTAGATATGTGAGTGTCCTTGAAAAATATGCCCTGTGTGTGTTAATTTCCTAAAATGGTATTGTGCTTTAGAGGGGAAAAAATCTCATTCTTTTCTTAATTTTTCTTCTGTACACACTGTTTTTGAACTCTCCATACTGATATAAATCCAGTTTGTCACTTTTAATGCCCTAGTATGTGCTACATTTTTCTTATCCCATCTCCCCTTGGTAGGCACCTGGATTACTTCCAGCTCCTGACTGCCATGAACAGTGCTGGGACCCTCCTCACTGGTGCCCTTCAGGAGGGTCACTGGCCACAGGAGGTGCCCAGTGTCAGAAGTCCTGCCTGGCCCTTCCTGGAAAAGCTGTCCCTGGTCACACTCCCAGCAGCCATGCTTGAGTCTTACATGTCTTTCTAATGTTTTGTCCACCTGGTGCGGTGCAAAGTGGTATCTCCTTGTTCTAATTTGCATTTTTTTGACTTCTGATGAGGTTGGGCATCACCATATCTATATTATAAAAAGCCACGGCCTTAATGACCAGTCACCAG